ACATAATAATATTATTATATTATATTGTGTACATCGCCGAGACTGTCGCGCAGTGTGCAAATACGGTTATTCTTATGTGTTGTGTATTATTATTATTGTTATTCCTGTCTGCCTGTATGATATTATTATACATCATGCACACACGTCATAATAAAAATATGAAAATATGTGATTTTTTGCTTCGCGATCACTCCCTGTGTGTCGTCCGATTTTGCGCAAACACGACCGTATAGTAGTAATGACGATGACGATATGAGCACGTACGTTTCATGTTATAATATATGTAATATTATTCCTATACAGTGATAATAATATAATATTTGTACACTCATAACTGTACCTACACCGAAATGAACAAAACGACATTGTGTTCTCGTCATTTACGCGCGCGCTCGTGTATTTACAATAATACATATTATATTATATACAAATCATAAATTCACAATAATAATAATGTCCAACGTTATAATATAATAATATCATTGTGTGCGTAGAGATATGAAACCGCCGCTGTCGTCGTTTTTTTTTTATTGTTGTTTTTCCTTCTTTTTAATATTGCTCGTGACAACACGGAACTTTGCACCAGTCGTATCTATGCGTGAACCTATCTATTATATTTTAAGCATGTGCGTGTATTATACGGATGTGTTTGCACATTGTTCTCGTTCCACTGCAGAAATACCGTTCGATAGGAAAACGAATAAACGCCTTCCGTCCGTCAAGGGCTCGGACTATGGCGACAGCAATATAGGTTTACGGTATATCCTGCTGTATAGTCGGATAAAGTCATAAACTTGGAGTACTGAAAGCACCGTATATTATACATTTTTATAGTATTATGTTATATTGTGTCCTACTGTTTTTAGCCCTATCCACATTGGTGGCATATATTATTTTATAGGTAGGTACTTTACACGATAAGAAACGGATCCATTAGGTTTGCAGAATCGTTTTTTGAACTGCATATTTGTTCTGCCCTGACTCCTGAGTATAATCTCTAATCGATATAGATAATATGCCCTGCAAGTAGTAAACAAATTAAATATTTAATATCGCCTTTGATACATAACATCGAGCGTATTCATATTCCCTGATTCAAACCAAAGTTAATGCTCCTGGTCCCCCCCACGTAACCTTAATAGCCTAAAGTTTTTCCTCAGAAGAGTAGTTAATGATCGATCTCTATTTTTTAGAAACCGACCCTGAAAGTAATATTGAATCTGATTTGTTTAATTAATTGCATTACTTACAACTAATCTGAAAAATATTAACCATAAAATGTGCACACCTAAAAATATGAATATTATTACGTACAATATAATACATGAAAATTTTCACTCCAATTTTCTTGCTCGACCCGAGCCTTTTAGTATAATATAATATATTGCAAGGACCAAGGGACCCACTGAAGTCACTCCTGCGTAGGATCTATATCGATCGTATACCATTAAACGCCGTCAACGAAAATCCATTAGCAGAGCATCGTTCGTGTAAATTTCAAATAGTTATACACTACGACATAATATAGACCCTGAGTTATAAAATAATATTGTAATATTAGATTATTATTATGTCATATCAGCATTCGGTGCCGAGAGACTTTAATAGTTTAATGGAAGTCTGTGTGTGGTTGAATCGAATGTAAATTGTTTTAGGATTCGAGTGATATTATAGTGTGACCAAAATAAATTCATATACATTTTAGATTCTGAGTGAAACGATGAATGTATTGATTTTACAATGATGTGTGTTTTTTTATTTTTTTATTTTTTTATTTTTTTATTTTTTTATTTTTTTTGTATCTGTGTACACGATAAGTAGTCGAAATAATGCTTCGATTTTCGACTTCAGTATCTTGTTTGATTGGAAAGTGAATATCGTTGGTGCATTGGGGAGGTCAAAATTTAAATTTCCCAGTAGTTTTCACAAGCGCCGGGAAAAACAACATAAAAATTAAGGAAAAACGGGAATTTTTACGCAAAATTGATTTTCCAAAAAATCGATTTTGGTTATTGGTGTAACTCTAAAACAAATGAACGTATATACATGAAATTTTCACTGGTTGTTTATATTTGCATTTTCTATACACGATAACATTTTCAAAATATTTTGATTTATTTTGAACTGTTTAGGGACATTTTCATTTTTAGTTTTTTTTTAGTTTTTTTTCTAGAAATATCAATAAAATTTTATTTGTTGGTTGCGAAAGCTTGAAAATTTAATAGAAGGCTCCTAACATATTGTTTCAAAGGCAGATGAAAAATATTAAAAATCCTTAGTCACAATTTTTTTTTTATAAGCATTTAAAGTTCAAAAATTGACAAAATATGGAAAAATCACGAAAATTAGCAAATTATTTTGAGTTAAGAATTCGTAAAAATTTTTCTTTTTAAATCTAAGATTTGAAAATCTAATACAAGATTACTCATAAGATTGTCTACCTTTATCAATAAAAAAATCTCTACCGGAAAGTCAAATTAAATTTTTATGAGCGTTTGAAATTCAAATTTTTACAACATTGGATATTCACTCGATTTCTCATGTGGCGATTTTCTTATTTTGTTGTAATTCAAAAACGAATAACTGTTGATACATGAAAATTTCACTGAATGTTTATATTAGCATTTCCTATACACCATACAATTTTGAAAATATTTTGACTCTTTTTGAGCTGTTTATGGACATTTACAGCTTTCAATTTTTTTTAGTTTTTTTTTCTATAAATATCAATAAAGTTTTATCTGTTGGGCCAAAAAGTGTAAAAATTTAATACAAGGCTCCTGATATATTGTTACAATAACAGTTGAAAAATATTAAAAATACATAGGCACAATTTTTTTTTATAAGCATTTAAAGTTGGAATTTTGACAAAATTTATCAAAATATCGAAAATTATCAATCGTTGGAATTAAAAAATTATAAAATGTTCAGTTTTTATAACTAAGAGTTGAAAATTTAAAACAAAGATTCTCTTAAATAATTCATACTGTAACCAAAAAATCTAAAAAATATATGAACACAGTTAATTTTTACAGACATTTTAAATCCAAATTTGGACGAAATTACATATTAAAATCAATATTAACGATCTTGGTTTTTCGTTGTAATTTAAAAATAGTATTCGGGGATATATGATACCTAATGGATATTGTGATATGATTAATTTGGAATTTATTATAGGTATCTATTATAGGTCAATTTTTTTTTAATACCATCGATAAGTATATGTCTTATACCTAGATTGACATACCGTCTCCACTCAGAATCGTTTTTCTTATACAATGATATTATATCATTGAATTCAAATTTAATACCATCCATTATACCATGGTCCATACTCCATGACCCACTTGTAACCTACAGTACAGCAGAGCGACATCCACTTACCCACCTTTTTTTTTTTATTATTAACAAAATGCGTAAAACAATTTTACCATCTTTTTATATATTTAGAATGTTATAGGATTGTTTTATAATCTCTAAGATACAAAATTATAAGTCCGGCATATAGATAAAATATTTATAATTCAAACATAAACAAGTCCAATAATATTTAATTTCAGCTTGATATTAAAATAAAATCGACTAGCTGTATGTGGTGCCCAACAAATAGTTACCTACTTATAAAGGTGTAGGTGTACTATTGTATATGTAATCCAGCAATTGTAAATGAAATGTATTAATTAATTATTATATTGGCCTATACAAGGTAATCCACAAGTTACATTACATTACACTCATTATTTTGAAAAAGTTTAAACTTTTTTGAAAATATTATTTTTAAATAATTTGATATTATTGCAAAACAAAAATTTGGTTGTAATTTATTTAAACTAAAACATTGCACCATGCCACCGAGTATACAAATTATTAGTTTATTATTATTACTTGTTCCTTATAATATAAAATAATATAATATTCTATATTAGACCTATAATACTGAAATAGTTATTATTAACTCAGAAACTAACTGGTTTGAATTCCAATTAATTTACATTACAATATTTAAAAATCACCTGCCTATCAATTTACAGTAAAAAGGATGTTTTAATTTAAACAGTAAACGAGCGAGTTAATGGTATCGGCACAGGACACCGTGGGCCATAATCCAATTAAAGGATAAAATGGTGGTGACCATGATGATTGGCCATAATCTTCCTGTATATTTCTCATCGGTGCCGCCGACAAACGAATTATCTATAATATACACATAATAACAATATTTTATGCTATAACAATAGCATGCGATGTATACACCTTTATACAATGTATAGCCACCAATCGCCAAAATCAATAGGACACGCGCCAGTTATGACGGAAAACGGTTTCCCGGCCAAATCCAATTTTTTTTTATTTCATTTACCGCACAGATATATAATATATATATATATGTAATAGTATATACACAAGCGTATATAAATATATATATTCAAGACCAATCACTCAGGTCGGCCGTGAATAACGGTCTGAGAAAACCAGAGCATGTAAATTTTACGGCTGGCCCCGGCGAGTTGTTGCGCATATTCACGTACACTTGTCCCTATATATTATGATATTTTATATATATGTACCAATAGGTGGGCTAGTTAATAAAAAAAAGTTAAGTTAAGTCAATGTTATAGGCAATAAGACAATAGTATATTATATTTAACTTAGAAAGTTTTAAGTGCCGAGAAACATATACTAACCGAATGCACAGTTGAAAATAAGTAAATTATAATTTTTAAAAACCATTTTTTTTGCACAATGCTTGTGCAACTTTTAACTTTTTCGAACAATTACTAAACATTTTTTCAAAAATACATTCCACCCATTCCTTTTTAAATCGGTATAATTGCACGCACTAGAGCTGTAGTGGTGTAGGTCATTACGTTTGTGTCAACTAAATTATTCCAATTTTTTTTTCTCTACATAAATATTGCAGTATACATTTTATGGCAAAAATTGAAAAAAAAAACATTCAAATAATAACCATAAGATAATTTTCCTGTGCCACTCACATGGAGAAAACCGATCGGAAAAATCATTTGATTCGGCAGCAGCTGCTGTACTCGCGTCTCACATATTATTATTACGGCTCATGGGTTGGCGGAGGTGCTCGTGTCACTAGTCATTTTCCAGGAAAATCACAATTTACTCGGAGGAAAACCGTTACGATTGGTTCTGAACGAATTGAACGAATTATGGAAAAGAACCGCGATCTCCGAGAAACATACTCGCCGCACCGGATGCCCCTGATGCGTTATTCGATCCTCGGTGATTTTCTTCTTTAATCAAACATTTAGATCGCACCAAGGCCCATCGTAAACTCGCTGAACACACACACACACGAGTATTTGGACCGTGACTCGAGGTCACATAATATAATATTATATATTATTATTATTATTATTGTATACAATCGTTTGAATATAATATATTCGTTGTGCAACATGGTCGGACATCGCGCGGTCAATGCGACGGACGATGACGATGACGAGACGATACGTACCGTCAAGGGTGTCGGTATATTGTACGCATAATATTTATTAATTATATCGTATGTTGTTGTACACGTCATTATATCACATATTACTATATAGAGTTGAGCGTGAATCGTAATATTATGTATACGATGTACCTTCTTCTAATTATTATCAAGCCATTGTCTCGAAACACGATATCATTATTATTGTAACAAACGATCAATTTGCATACACAGTCCCTGTGCCCACTGTCCGATGACCCGTAGACGACTCGGCGCGTAAGGTAATAATTAATTACCATTGTGACCTGTAATTTGCCCCGCGCTTGCGCACTGTGCCTCATAATATAATAAATGATACTGATATATATTAGTCGCCTATGGATTACGCGTTTTGTTTTTACTTTTATTTTATCACGAATTTTGCGTAATTTTACACGTCCGTCCAGCGAACAATAAGACGTTTGTGACGCGTTCAAACATAATGATATCTATATACAAAAAAAAGAATCTCGTCGTCAATATATATTGTAATATTGCGCGAGTAAAATATAATATGCACCGTTGCAGTTGCAAAACTCCGTTGTGTCCGATGACGAATGTGCATTATTTTATTGAACCCTTTTAAAGTAAATAGTAATATGTCTCGAGGCTAATATAACGCGTTTGATAAGTTTCTAGTTTTTTCAACACCTCATTTTCGTAATCGTGCAAAATAACAGTTGATGAAAAATAAACTTAAAGCCCATTGGTTAAAGATTAACTCCGGACTCGTCCCACCATACGAATCCGTTACACGTTATAGCTGTACAAGTTATTATATTCCCATTAGGTGATAGTCAAAATGTCAAATTACAAGAAAAACGCTTTAGAAATTATTAAAAAAAACATCAAATTGAAACATAATGTAGGTAAATAGTATATTTTTTTATCGCAGTACAATAAAGTCTTATTGGTGGTCTATGGATTAACTATCTGTCACGCTAAAAAATATTTCGTCAACTTAACGAGTACCTACCTATATTATATAGTAGTATAAAAAAATATTCAACTACTATAAAATATTGCTTAGCACTTCTTACTAGTAACCAAAGTCAAGTCCAAACGTTAGGCACCAACTGTACACTTCAGATACATTAGACTCGTCGTATTAAAGTCGTCTGTACGGTTGTTCGTTCAAAGTAATTATACCGTGGTATCGTAGGAACCTACCTTACTATATATTATAATACACGCCAAATTAATCATATTATTGATAACGGAATAAGACAGACGCGTTTGTGAGGGCATGTATGTTATAAATTATTATTATTTTTATTATTAAATATCTGTAGAGACGGTTTGCGATAATAATATTATACCGAACGTTCCGAAAATTATGATTAGATACTGTTATGTTTCGACGAACATATTATTATTATTAGTATTATTATATATTTTAACGTGTGCGTTTTGCACGAGTTGACCGGCAAATCGAAGACTGCGAAAAAAAAGTCTTATTCTCGTATATTATTTTTTTTCTTCATACGTCGCTCGCAAATAATAATTCCCGATCGGAGGAAAAAAAAAATACTTAAAACTCGTGTTTTTATAATATGATGATGGCTATAGAATTTTATAATATTTTAATATAAAACGTTACTAAACGACCGATTATAATTTATAGGTACCTATACTAAATACCCGACGTCAATGCGCTATTATAAATCATAATGATATACGAGAACACTGGGGCCGGTAATCATTACTATATTTAGCAAATAATAATAATATTAGCATATTATAGTTTATTAAACGTCGTGTTTAGAAACGCACGAAGTTCGACCAAAATTATTGTCGGCAACGCTCTTTGCTCATCCCTCGTCAATATAATTCACTAGTTAATATACCTAATATGTGCTTGTCACTATAGACGGTGCTAATTTGTACTATCGCTTTCGACGTCATCAAATCGCGATATCCGATGAAGAAAATATAATTGGTGCCATGGGATAGGTATTTCAATTTCTAAGATTATCAGCTTATTATATTATAGTGTGTAGGTACGGTAGTAGTTATATAGCAGTTAAAACCGATAGGAAACAAAAGTGTTAAACTATAATAACATGCGAAATGATGATTTACAAAATATATGCAAAAAAATGATCCAAAATTTAAAAAAAAAAAAATTGTTAGTCCTAAGTACCTAGGTAAATAGTAAAATTACATGATATTATTATTTTTATTCAAAATAACCATGATAAATATCATATAGTTGTTGTTTTATTAACATAACAGTAATAGTATTTTCAATTAACAGTGACATTTAATTTAACACTTTTCAAGTTTGTTTGTGTTGATTGCTGCATCAGTGGTTAATGGTTATAAACTACTATAAGTCGCTAAGTTTTTACAAATTTGTTACATATTTTGAAGTCCGATTTGTTTAGGGTTATTGGCCACGGCAATTCATCTCGTGTAAGAAATGGCAGTTACGATTGTAAAAAAAATAATAAAAAATGAGTAGGTACCTCCTTCATAATATATTTATATATATATATAATAAAAATAGCAATAATAATTGTAACTATCATAATAATAATGAAAAAAAAAACACACAAATCGCCTTGTCCGCAGTCGAAGTTTTCTTTTTTATGACCTCTGTTCACCTTTAAATCTTTGATCCGAGTACCTATACATAGGTAGACATAATAATGTTGCTACACAATAAAATTATTGTATTTAGTGTGAAATGATATGCGTCGTCGGCTTAGTTACAAATGGATTCACCTTAAAAAAAAAAAATGAAAATGAATATCCATCAAGACCACCCGTCAGGGTTATTTATAATTTCTTTCAGCTTAAAGATCAGTAGTTGAAAACGTTTTCGAAAAAAAAATACATAGGTACTATAAATTCGTTGTAGATCGTGGCTATTTACACCTTTTTTTTTGCCTGTAACGAATTTTTTAAAAAATTCGTCTTCCAAACAGACAATAATCAATAATAATAATAACAATCTGTAGAAGATGAAGACGAAGTACATAGTATAATTGGTACCCATACAATGCACTATTATAATGGCGATAGTATGCAAAAAAAGTTTATCCACTAACCCGTTTGTAATAATTATTTAGAGCAGATAGTTGGTCCAGGATTATACACAAAATTTATTTTTTATATAGTTCATTATATTGCATACAATACGATTATGGAATACGGTGTCGGTGTTTATGGTCAAACGGTATTTAAGGTATAATATTTTATATTATATAATTTTATATAAAATGATAATATATCACTGATAACTTATAAACAATAAATAATAAGATTGTTAATTTAAAAACCCTATATAGGTACACATTGAAAATCACAAAAATTGAACAACCGTTTAAAACCTTTTAAAAACAAATAAGGAACAACAGTACTAGTATTTAACAGATATATTACTATATAAACGATTAGAAAATATATACAACTATTCTGATTTTAAATATTTTATTGTTAAGATTTTAAATAAATCGTGAATCTTACCATTTGTGTTTTGATCATCTGGGATTTATATGGGAAGGATTATTCTTCTGGTACACTGCTGCTTTTTTCGTTAGTAAGTCGAAAGCTCGGGATAATCGATTATAATTCGTTTTCTATTTTTGTAGACGTTTTTACTCTTGAAAATAACGCAATAATAATAATATGGAAGTGTTATGTTTTTGTATATTACGCCGAAAATAAGCGCTACGGCGAGTAACTTGGTTACCATGAACATATTATAACAATATACACCTGAAAGTTCAAACTTGTGGTTAGGATCGCGACTTAAAACCTATGTACCTATTAGACGGCTACCTACACAGAGAAAGGTGCAAATTACCAAGTTTAAAGAGATACAGCGTTTCCTATCAGTGATTTACTTTATTATTATTATTTATTTTTTAGAACCTTCTACGATAGGGGGGAGCTGCAGTTGGATTTCACATACATATTCTCATATATTGTTGAACATAATTTTATTTTGACCGAGCTTTGGGACAAGGGAGTTTGTATAGAGAATTTAATATTGTTTGCAAGAATGTAATAATTTTATCGAGCTCGGAAACGGTCGTTGGTTACACATGAGTCAACCATTTGGTTGGATGCTGGCCATGGTTGTTCTCACTCTGTCGACATACATTTTTTTTCATTTCTCTGACTGGCTTCAGATATATAGTCACCCTTGACTTCTCGTGTCCTCTGACCGTCTTGTAGCCTTCGCTATAGCGTATAGTTTTCACCATGGCACCTACCACCTTCCCAATTTTCTAAAACTATTGTTTCTACTATTTCAGATAATGCTAACTGATCCATTGACGCTAGCTCCATAATCATTTAACTGGTATCTTTGTTGTTAGGCAGCTCATCTTTATTTAGTCCACGTAAAGTGAGCAGAAGTATTATAGTATCTACTATAGTCAATTATTGATGAAACTTATCTGTTTGTATTTCAAAATTCCAAACGAACAATAATAAATATTAAAATAAAACAATAAATATAATATTATGCATAAATATTAATTATTATATTATACATATAATTATATTATTACTAGCTGTATAATGACTTGGTTCGAGGAAAGAATTAACAAACATAAAATATGGGGCTGTATCGGTGTATCTATTGATAAAGAGATTAACTACAAAATGAATATGGCTCATTGTTTTATAAAAATAGTTCAGAGTAGTAGCAGAGTAATATATTATACAAACATTTTAATGAAATATGAATCACATTAGTGAATATATTTGAACAAAACTGATTATTATAAATAATTGTTAAATCAAACGAAAACATTGTTGAAGCTTAAATGCATTGACCAAGTTTAAGTACTACTGTCCACGACGCTTTCGCCACTCCAAAAAGCATCGAAACAGGTTTGAGTGCGAATTATAGGTATCGACAACATCGTGAACTAAAAGCGCTATGGAGTAGGGGGGGAGAGAAATTTGTAATAATGTTAAACCATCGGGGAGGATCGAGATTTTGTCGAAAACCATTGCTCGGTTGTTTACTATATCGTTTTTGCGCAGTTTTGTTTGCTTATGGTTCTCCGAGAAACCCTCGAAATAGTTCCCATACATGTATAATAGTACATTCTGTGACCAGTTTTTCAATCTCCAGAAGTGCTATCCTCACACCAAGCTTTTTGCGACTTTTTATTCTACAACTATATTACTGCCCGGCTCGAGAAAGTGTCTACATCGGATAAACAAAAAATAAAAACACAGATTATCGTAAAAACCAATAGCACCCTCGCTGTATATTACACGGAACGAAAAATCTCAAAGAGCACCGATGATAGCGGGTTTATAATAGTATATAATATTATTATTATTATTATTATATTATAATAAATCAAACGACGACAATGTCCCATGTCTGCCAATCATAATCATATTATATACCTAAGTTTAATATTTTGATAACAAATTTAAGCAATTAATAACGAAATTATAGAAAAAAATTGTATATTCATGTTTGTTATTATTTATTTATTGATGACACCTGCCACACAATATTTTAAATTTTCTTAAATTATATTATTATATTGTATACATTAATTTTGGTACACAGTGTAGACATTTCGGAAGCGATTACTCAAGTTAAAAAAATAAAATAAATTCGATGCTCCGCTATGAATCTAAAATTCACATAATCGTAAGACATAGTATATCTAAAATATAAAAATTATTACTGGGCAATAATCTAGAAAACAATAAATTCGGTATTGAATGACCAAACATTAAAATAAAAAAAAAATCAATAGGTAATATAATATTATAAAATGTAAACAATAATACATGTTTTATCTTGATTGTAATAAATTATTATTTTGAAGATGCTGTTGAAATTATCTGTTGTCTCCAAGCATATTGTAATAATTCTGTTAGGGCTGAAATTGAAATATAATTTTAGTCGATTACCTACTTAAGCCTTATAACCAATAAATGGTGTAGGTACTTTTTTTTTCTAAGCTATCTGTATAATTTAAAAAACAAAAACATTTTTTACATCATTAAGATAGGGCTGGTCTGAATTATATTCAAATGCGGTACATTTCAAATCCATCTCAATAGGAAATATCGGTGGTTCGTTATCACAGCTATCCCCTCCATTTATCATCCAACTTATTTCATGGTTGTAACTAGTGATTTGTGAAGCAATTATTTGAAATTGATCTACAACATCATGGACGTGTTTGCTTTCAAGCAGTTCGATTTTGGTAAAAACATCTTCTCTTAGAGCTAAAAATCGTTTTCTTGCTATCTGTCGGCATCTCAATAGAAGCCTACACAAAACAAAAATAAATATTATAATATGGTGTTAATATAACATTATTATTGCTTCAATGTACTTATAGTGTTTAGCCTCTATTTATAGGTACACTCAAACTGATATTATTTTTTTTTCCTGTATCGGTATTACTACTATTACTACCTGTATTCATAATTTCCGGTTTCAATAAGATACACAGGATCATATGTCGATGAAGTATTTATTTGTTCTGTATCCAACTCCTTGATTTTTAAACAGTAAGATAAAAATTCAAATTTCACATCGGCATATTTTCGTATTGTTTGCTTGGTGTCTGGAATAACTTTATTCAGGTATGTGCCAAATGACCTACATATCTAATCCGCAATTATAAATTATATTTTATATAACAATATAAGCTTTTTTATACTTACTGGTTTAATAACTTCGATTAGCGTAAGACCTTGGCGCTCCATTCGTCTGTGATATGCAGAAAAACGCATTAAAGATTCACTTGCTCTAGGTTGTGGTTCTCGGACAGCTATATCTGCAAAAGTCTCCCCAAATTCTACAGGAAATGAATACAGATAATGACAACACAGTTTATAGAATATTGAAAAATACTCAAGTCACTTTAATACTATCATACAAAATTCTGTTACTTAAGACTTTAGGTACCTTTATAACATTGGGTCAGATCATAAAACGCTTCAAGTACATGTTCCAAGTGATCAACCAAGGAACGATATGTTTCTTCCAAGTTCTCTAGATGTTGTAAACGTTTAACAAGATCGTCATCCTCAATAACTGCACGAGACAAACACAAACAATCAGCAACAGTGCTAGAAATATTTTCAACTAGCCTCTGTTTAAATTTTTTTAATACAATATCCAAAGTTTTTCCTTGTTGGACATCAGCATGTAATTTGTTATATTTCAAAACTACTGGATTCTTAGATACAAATAAATGAACGTACATTAAATATTATAAAAATAGTTTAGTTCTATGTGAATAAGTAGAAAGATTAAACTCACACTACTAGATTCTATCATTTTTGATACTTGCAAATGATGACGTCCACTTACGCGTTCATTATTAATAGCTAGAAGCTCATCGCCACTTTCTAATGTGCCATCTAATGCAGCTGGTGAATCATCCCAAACCTAAGATAACATCATTCACTTAGTACAATGCATTTATGACTAAAATGTATTGAATAACATAATAAAAATCGATATTTGTTGGAAAATAAGTAAAAAAAAAAAATTCATACCTGTGTAATATATATACAAGGGCAGTGAGGTGGTCCTCCAGCTATTGATAAACCTATACGACTGGTTTTCGTGTCCTTATTAATTTTTACAACCCCAGAGGTTACTTTCATACCTCTAAACACATTGTATTGAAATAAAAATGACTCGATGGATTAAATGTTTAAACTTACTTTTTATCATCATTTAAATGTAAATGATGATCATTGTACATAGTCTCAGATGGATTAACGTTGCTCATCGTGAAAAAAATATTAGCATAGAAGTAGAATGTATTAGCATTCTTCTTAATTAGAATATATATATATTTTTTATTGTATTTACAAAACGTACCTATAATATTAATCAAATAACCATGGAAATGCAAATTAATAGTATTAATTGTGACATATTATTATTTAAATTTAATAAATTATAAATCCTATTCTGGAAATAAGATGGCATGGAAGTAACAACTTAAAAATATAATATAATATTGTATAGTTATGAAATAATATGATAAAAATATTTATATGTCCTATATCACCCTAATATAGCCCACTATATTGTGAAACTTTCAATCATATCGGATCTAATTCAGTATTTCGATTTGATCGCGATTAAACGAACACATTTTGGAAAACAAATTATAATTCTCTATAAAACACAGTTAAAATTAAAACAAAGACGCAGTGACTAAATTCAATTTTTTAGAATTTTTACCAAAAACAGTAGTGACAATGTAAAAATAATCCATAATATGCAATCTTAAATAAATTATTAAAAACACGTTTGGGTGGGGCTTATAGATTTGGAAATTACTGAAAACCGACTGGCATCAAATTTTGTACACGTTATGCTTGAGACTTTGAGAATGTTTATAGTTTCGTTTTACAACCACTATAGGTTAGTTTAGAGTGGTATACGGTCACACAGTGACCACATGAATTTTTTTTTAGTTCACAAAAATAAAATATTTTTATTTGGTTATAGTGTTGCCATTGGTTACAGATCAAAAAAAATAGTTATAATTTAACCAATGGTAACCAGAAATAAACATACGAAATAGAAAGTAGAATTTACTATTATCTATTCTTATTACAATAATTATTTAAAGGGCAATGTCCGTATGTTTGTCGCTTATTGACTCAATATATACTCGATCTCTGCAGAGGTTTAAGATAATAGGTAAAAAGTTTCTAGGATGGTTTGAACCGCGTTAGAAGTATACCGAGTTTCATCCGACACGGGTGGATTGCTCTTTTCGATCGATTTATTTGACAAAGCGAATTACACCGACTCCAATTAATTGTCCGTGAACTGAGGTACAAAACCGAATAAGCAGCTGATGTGGTGTCATAATATTATTTTATATTTTTTAATTTTTTTCTCCGAAGTCAGGTTATTTACGGCTAGTTAATGAATAAAAATAACACCAAGTACTCTTTGCACTGCGGGGCAAGCTACGACATAAACTTATAATATTACTAAAACTAGAAAACTGGTTCTGGTTCTAGTTACTGCGATCTTAAGAGCTAAAACCCAAACAGTAATCAAAAACATCGAAAACCAAAACCAAAAGAGTTGTAAGAGTTCCACCCTGAAGTACAACGATTTAATATTAATATTACTATTTTGAGTGTCATTAGTGGAAGACTTCTCACATCAAGTGTAGCCTGTTCATATTTAATTATTTTAATTGTGTAAATCATTATTAAAATTAATTTATAATATGTATACCTACTCTAAACTCATAAGCCTGTTGTACCCCCAAGGTATAGATTGTTTATTTAAAAAAAAATATTATCATAAGTAGAAGAGATGCGTAAAAATGGAATTCTACTTCGAATTTACTTCTATTCAACTAAAATACGGATGGACAGAGTTTTCCGAGAAAACTGTACAATATAATACAGTAGGTACGTCTGTATATATTATAGTGCATAAGCTATTATTATCATTGTTTTTTGTTGCTGTTTGTGCACGCATTATTATAATAGCGGCGAGTCGGCGGCTGTGATTGTAATTCGTAATAATTATTATAATAACAATAATTGTTTACCCGCGGCGGCACTGCAACAGCTATACAACAACACTCGAACGAAATAATAATATTCTCACAGACGTTTTATTTTAATTATTATTACGACGGCCGTGGCGGTGCGTGTACTATTGCTCGCACGTGTGTAGAATTATGAACGATTAAACGAAACCAATTATTATATCATATTATTTTATTATTATTGTAATATGTTAAACGCACCGTACAACTCTCTCACACGCGCCGCAGAAACGGTAGTTGTTCGGATCGTATAACTGTATGTTTGTTTTGCCGCCGTCCGGTTGTCTGACACAACATTATTGTACGTTTTATGTTATGCCGTAATTATTATTATTATAAACTCCGACTTCGTTGGCAGGGTTTGCGCAAACACAGAAAATAAGGCCCACGAATGGGGGCTCTTTCATCTGAAAAAATAAAAACAAAACAAAAATTGCAGTAACACGATTCATGTTTTGTGGCCGATAAAAATAAACGATAATGTTTCGAATAGTTCTCTACGGTCTCCGTGCTCCGAATGACCTTCGAGATCCCTAAAAATCACCAACTTGCATAGCAACTACAGGCTTAGACAATTTATCGAAGGCACAATAATAATAAGTTATAAGCTGTACCTAGCCGACCATCACTCAGCACCGAAATACTTTTCTGATACTCGACGACGACGGTGGTTGATATGTCTACAGATCAGAAGACGACCTAACCGGACGTTGGGTTTATTGCGAACGTCCGGCCGTGGAACAATATAAGTACCGTTCCGGAAGACCATATTATTATTGTTTCGCATACGTAATATTATCATCTACGACTTCCGTCCAGTCGTATAATACACGTTTATACTTTATACGCCTATCATAATCCTATCATCGTCTGATCTTAATCGTTTCTGTGCCCTTGCGATGAGATATATGTATATAGTAGGTATATAGATTAGTAGGTATGTAGATTATAATATAATATTGGCATTTTGGCGATCGGCCTCTTCCCTAAAAACCGCCAACTAACGAAGTTTTTGTGAATATTTTTTGAATATTTTCTTTGGATAAACATCAAAATACGTACAATACATTTCGATGGTTTCCGAAAACTGCTTAAATTCCTAAAGTGGCTCTCCGAAAAATACTAATTTGTGATCCCGGGTACCTATAATATTATAATCGTTGGATCGTTTTCTTTTCTTTTGTCTGCATAATAAGGTATATGCAGTGTTGTAAAAAATACTTTTAAAAAGTATTTGAGTAATTACTCAAATACTTATAAAATAAAGTATTTAAAATACCACCCAAATACTATCTATTGTAAAGTATTTGAGTATTACTCAAATACTTTTTAGAAGTATTTGAAATAATTTTCAAATACAAAACAAAAAAATACGTACGTATACGACATACCTTACCTACCTAATGTTCGTATTATATTTCGCTATGATAATATACTATATTGGTAGGTAGTAGGTACCGAAACGTACCGTTCCAATCGTCGTCGAGTGTCGACGGTAAACAGACGGTTTCTCAGAGTAACTAATATTAATTAGCTATTAATAGACGAAAACTAAAACCAATATAGAATTGTTCATAAATGATAAATATATATTATAATATTATTATTATTTGACAATGAATAAAAAATTGAAGGAATAAAAAAAGTATTCAATAAAATAGTATTCTATAGTAAAAAAAATGTATTTAAAATACCGTTCAAATACTTCAAAAATAAAAGTATTTGAAAAAGTATTCAATACGGAAAAAAGTATTTGAATACTTTTACTCAAATACTTTTACTCAAATACTTTACAACACTGGGTATATGGACATACAGTTCGTAATGTGATCAAAATATTTTATGATTATAAAATCAGTGACTATATTAATCATATTATATTACAATTTACAAGTAACTTGTCTCAAGTCTGAGTAAAAACCATAAAACTTTGTTTATGTCACCACTGTAGACTCCTTGCGGGCAGTGAATCCACTGCGAGCACAATTCACAAAACACTGCAATATTTTTAATATTAGTAAAATACGAGCGTCGAGCACACCTATACTTCCTTAATATTCGTACAGCGTCTTATATATTATAATAAATTATTAAATCTGAATTAGCTTATTGCCTGAATAGTATTTATGTAATACATATTATAGTAATTGTTAAACGCGACAATTATTAAAGTACTTCAATTGTACAGGCGTACAGCAATAAATTTATATAAATCGCGTCCGTTCTTCCATCTCCGCTTTAATAATAACTGTGATAATGTTATTTATTATATTATCATTTATCGTGTACAATAAACACTTGTGATCGCCACTCGGCACTGCAATATAATAATATATTATATTATGCTCTCGATTTATGATAATTTATTTAGAGAAGTGATGTGGAATAACCAATGAGGAGGACTTGTTCTTAATATACAACCCATGCGCGTTGCATAGTAATAATTATAATATTATAAACAATAACACTGTAAGGTATCAAATGTATATACCTACGCGAAACCGGTCCTTATAAAAGACTGATAATAATAATTTGAATAATATGTAGATCGAGATCACAGACGCACATCGTGTAATATAAAAATATTCGTTGTATCATTATTATGAATAAAAAAATGTAAGACATAACCATATTGTTACGGTATTTGAAAATTTTGTCTACTTCCTCTCACCGAGATCGGGTGGACTGGAATCTTGTCCTCTGCTCACCGATGTGTTAAAACGCATCATCATCGTTATTCGTATACCTACGACGATATTAGCCGTGTCGTGCCGTGCGTACCTAATGTTTTTATATTATTATCAAGACAGAATATTGTACACATAATATATACGAGTAGTTCAGCAGGGCTTGAGAGTTGGAAAATATATTTTACTCTGCTTGAATAATATGATAAGTGCTTAAAAACGCTATCAGCGCGGCGATACCAAAGCAAAAGCATCAAAATAACACAATAATTCGAAATTTTAATTTTTCCACTCACGTGTCTCTCTATAACTTGTAGATGAATACAAAATCATTAACAACTATAATGTATAAAGTAATAATTTGATGTTGCTGAAAATCATCGAAGTGGGTACCTAATATTAAAAGTCATAAACGTGTGAAAAAAAAAAACTTTCGATAGACGTAATTATAATCTCCATGCATATTGTAATGGTGCGCAATGTACATGAAATAGATTAATTAGATTTTTCTAGAATAATATACGAAATATAGTAATTTACGATCCGAGTCTAAAGTCTTGATTTCATCTGTTTAGTTTGATTGAGCTGAATGGTAAACTCTTATATTGAACCAATCTAGAGTATCGGATACTCTGAAAATATTTAACCTTCGAGTTCTAAAGTTTTGACTATTGACCCTAACAAATTTTAATTCCAAAATAAGATATTTTAGATTCAATAGAATGGTAGTACTCTATGATAAACCGTACTATGAAATATTATTTTTCAAAAAATAGTTTGATTTTTTATAGCCTTTTAAAGTGTTTTCTTATAAAATATATTACTTTAAACGATTTCGAAATTAAATTTATTTACTAATTTAAAAACAATTTTTAGATTCTATTGGTTTTCAAAAAAAAACTGATCTGTGTAGGTTGATATTATTAATATAATAATAAAGTAATGTACTCAAAACTCAAACGTAGTACTTATACAATATAATAAACAAACTTGGGGAGATCGTAAACTGCGATTTTTCGGTCAGACTTTATGGGTGGTAAAAGGGTATACGATAATAACTCTGACGGGAATACAGCAATTCGAACGAAGTTTTAAGTTTGTCAATAAAATAACGGAAAGGTCGAATATTTAGTTACTATAGTGTGTTATTATAACGTTTATATAACAGCAATCGACCAAAGTCTCGCTCAAAGTTCACCTGAAATATATAGCATACTATTATATAAAAGCAAAATACTCTTCTAAACCTTTTGATGTATTGAGTATAACAAAATGTCGAGGAATTCTCAATAAAAGTTGTACTCCGCTCCTGCATTCCATTCATCTAAACTTTAAATACTTAGTAGGTAGTTTCGTTCAATATCCAACATTATTTGACATCAGTATTTTTTGGAAAAGTATTCTGCTTCCATCGTGAAATAAAAATGTAGTAAGAAATAAACCTAAAAAAACTCACCATAATATCATACACGATACGAAATCAAATTTTTTTTATAAGTATTCTAAACACCCTCTTCTTTCAACTATATAAAAATGTGTTCATTGTGGACAGTTATTAGGGAATAACCTCTCAACACTTGAATGGGTAAATAATAATTTTATGAAGGTATAATATATTATTGTATATTTATATCAGACGATTTCCAGGGGGTAAGGGACTAAGGTCGCGTTTGGCTCCATCCTCTCTCCCCTCTGACAATAAAATATACTCATATATTTGATTTAATATAATTAAAGTACCCTTCCTAAACATAATGAAAATCTCCGTAAATACTATACGCTATTGTTAATAATCGTTATACATAATCCAACTGCAAAAAGCCATTGCATACAATAATAATATTATATAGCTGCAGCGGTTCGTTGATCGTGTCGGATCATCTCTTCCGGCCTGCCAAGACCGTGGTGTTAAGAGTCGCGATATATATAGCTTGTCCAATCAAATTAATATGTCTCAAAGCCATACATATTGCACTATGTATATACATATTATATACACATTTATAGTAATAATATAACGACCCATGTCGGCGGCGGGGCCAAAGCCCTTTTCTCGTCATCGCGACAAGTCATCCGGAGGATTAACACGATTTTCGGTCTCTATACCACTATTATCACTTTGCAGTTTTGCTCTCTCTCTCTCTCTCTCTCTCTCTCTCTCTTTCTCTCTCGTCACCGTCTTCGTCCTAACGCCCTTTCGGGTTTTTATTTGATAATAATAATTGTTTATGTAGATCGTTTGTTCGCGAAAAGCATGGTAGTGAAAAAAATTAAATCTTTGGAAAAATAAACGCCCATTATGATATAACAGACCGCTGTTATAAATATAAATAATAACGCGAACACTCCAGCAATTATTATATTGACTCGTTTTAGACATTTACCAAACGCATTATTATATTCAACAGCGATACTTTACTGTATAGGTAGACGATCCTTTTTTTTTTATATAAAATAAAAATCCGATTTGCTTGTTATAACAATTATTTTTTGTCTCGTTACAGATGAGGGTGCTGTGCCAGGAGTCGATCACCACGGAAGGAGGAGTGGTGGTGGGCAGCGGCGCAGGGCCGACGGAGCTCTATCCGAACGGCGAGGAAAGTGCCGACGACGTGGGCAGGGAGAACGTGTTCGTACTCAACGATACCAGGGAAGCTCTGTCTCACGACGGTAGCGAACACAATTCCGTAAGTGAACATTTAATAATGGATATGCTAATAATAAATGATATTATTTGAGGCACATACACCTATTAGTATATTATACAGTGCGAGATGATAACCTGCAACAACAAAAAAATCAATTCTGTTGTTTAAAAATAATAAATGCATTATCGATTGAAATTTGTTTATAATATTTTGCGACCAAATTCGGACGGCCCAGCCTAAAAAAATTTGTCTGCCATAGTATAATGCGGTAGCACATGATTTGGTTTGGCATCGCTGGCGTGAAAATAATTGATTTCGCTGGAGTCACCAAAATCAAATTTCCTTAAAATTACAGTTTTTGGGGTTAATGTGCGTTCTTGTCCTATAATATAATATGTTATAATATTATAATCAAATATAAAAATACCTCGGCACCAAAATTGTTGGAGATAATGGTTGGACAGACGGGGAAAGGATTTATCACTTTAACAAATTTTCAGTCGGCGGACAAAGCTCATAAGATTATTATTGCGACAGCATTTCTATATTATATATTATCATCTATTATAGGTATACCGCAATCCTATTATTGTTTTTTAGTGGAAATAATTTATAACAAAGTAGGTCATAACAACTTTTTTGTATTTCTATATAACTTTTACAGCTATATTATACTTCCTTTTTTCATATTATCATATAATATTTTAAACATTTTTTTTTTTTCGTACGCAAAACATAGAAAAATAGCTTGTAGCAAATTATCGAAAACATCAAACAAAAATACATTTTCTTTAGTATAACAATATAATATTTCCACTGCATATTGTTCACCCGAATAGTCGTTAATTTACAACATACAATATATTACATTATTACACTACCGTTGCAGGTAATTAATTTTTTCTATAAATCTGAGGGACGGACCCGGTAGCTGCTGGACTTGAGTTTACTGTTAATAAAAACATAATTGTTTTCGGGTCGCCGAGGGGGCGAAAATCAAGCCGAAATATATAATAATATTATAATCATACTCGGTGGATATTTACGATGGTATTGTAATAATGGTATACGAGTATTATACCTTTAGACAGTTTAATGTTTACGACCGCTTGAATAATAATAATCTTATAAGGTCCACATTTTTTCGTTATCTCAATTTACTGTAAGCGTTAATTACATCGATTTGGGTTTTTTTTCCCGAGCCAAACAACGGTAAAATAATATTATTATATCTAATATTATTTCATCTAATATTATTAGATTCTGCAGCCGTTAACCATTAGGTGGTAACTGTATACCGTATACATGGTACGTCTGATAAGTATTATATTATGTACTAGATTTATATAACTATCATGACTGGGTTTATACCTAATAGCTATTTGTTTCTGAATATTGTTGCACAGAGCACTACTACGGTATAATGGTAAATCATAGAAGAACTTAACCTTTTTCTAAATTGTGGCAAATAAATGAAATTGAAAAAAATAAAGATGTGCAATGTAAAATATTACAATAATTACAAATTGTTTTATTGCATACTATTATTTTCGTGAAATAAACACATTTTTAAAACATTTAGTCATTTGTCTTTTTTACACTTCATTAAAAACAATAAGTTCATAATAATTATAATTAATATCATTTTTTATTAATATTTAAGATTACTGTAAATTGCACTCCTCAAAATGTCGTTTATATATTATAAATGGGATTTTCAACTATTTGCTTAAAAATATATTTTTTCATAATATATTCAATTTGATTAATTTTAATTTTTGGTTTTTTGTATTTTTGTATTAATTTATCTGATATCAATATTATTCGATTGTAGCTTCAGTTTCATGTTGTTCCATTTGTGTTTTTATTGAGTGTTTTTGAATAGTGGATGTGACAAAAATTATTGTTTTTATTTTCCATTTATTTGTGGCCCCTTCCAGCGAGGGCCGCTGTTGTATTACATCGTTTACTAAAACGTTTGTATTCTAAAACATAAATTTTATATTTTCTAAAACTTGATTTTCCGAAACATGCCCAAAAATACAATAGTACAATATACATAGTGGTACAGCCGTTCAGCCGTTCAGGTAAAATCGGCTTAAGATAATTATAATATATATTACTCCGACGAACCTATAACATACCTATAATAATAAAATAATATTAATTTAAATAATTAATTATTAAGATGATACAATTATATCGTTTAAACGTTAATGTAACAAAATATAATAACAAATAGGTACCACAAGAATAAAACATAATAATATATTATTACGTGTGCAGTTTGCTTATTAATTAGTTATTATTTTTTGGAGCGACCTTTCACGGATTAAGCTGAAAATGCGCTCAGTCCTTTAATACTTGGGTAGGTACTTAATTTTTTTTCCCATAGTCATTATAGTCGACATCATAGTATAGGTAATACTTTTATTACTATTATATTACTATACAGTTATTTCGTACCCAATTTACAAATAATAAGTGGGTAATAATAATAAACTCAAGTAATTTTTTTTGCCACTCGTTCGTGTTTGGTTCTCTAATGTATATTAAATATCATGCGTAAACTCGGTAGGTAATCCTCTTTTATAGAACCTTGTACCCGGAGTCAAATTTTTTTGTTGTCTAGTGACGACCCGAATCCCTGGTATTTATTATTTACAACCACCCGCACACAGAGAGCTGATAATAATTGTTGCCCTACATATCAGATGTATATTATGACGTATAATATTACACAACTTAGGTACAATGTGTAAACATTATAAACCGTTGCGACGAGATTCGCGGAAAACGGATGGAAAAAAGGTCGTCCATTGTATTATAACGACTCGGAAGAGTTTTAATAACGCGCTAATAGTTGTTTTGACAACGTATAACAAACAGTCAGTATTAGTTAATGAGAAAAAAAATGTTTTAACGTGCAACGCAGTATATTATAATATTCATTCACAAGCTGGTGTTGCACATAATAGTAAATTATGCTACGGAATATCTGAATAATAATATTTATTATTATTAGTTGTATTGTGCACGTCATCCAAAATCCATTGTTTTAAAATGTTTTTTAAAATCAATGTGCAAACGCCACCCTTGAGATTGATGTCATATAGAACGGCAAAAAAACAGTTAGATAATTCGTAAACTCAATCGTTCATAATCGTGGGCGTATGTTACCATGTATAAGACTCGGTCGCAGGGATGGGGGTCCAAGAGTGCTGCAAAAATCAATGTTGAAAATAAGCCACGGGGACAAATTCGACCCCCCCCCCCCAACCAAAGGGCCACTTGATATTGACAGATAAATCTGCTATTCATAAAATGAGGGTTGGAAGCTCACCTCTTCTATGGAGTATTCAAAAGGCAATCGGTATAACGTGAGATGTCACTACCTATTTTAACTGTAGCTGTTGTCTGAGTGCACTATGCATATTATGTGATTGCATCCAATAAAACAAAATGTTTTCTTCTTACAAGAAACCAATTTAGACAAATTTACATCTAAAAACTTGAAAAATTAACGCCCATAATTTGAATGATCTCTACTTTTTCTCTAGATCATTGTTCAAGTCATTTTTTGAACATAATACCTATGTTTTAATTTATAAATAAAAAATACCGTAGTAAATACGAACTCCAAAATCTGAGAAATATTAGTGATAAAAATAGGATTTTAACCCAATATTAATAGCTGAAATATTCATATTAAATTCTCACCAAACAACTCATTATAGAGGTGATTAACATATTAAATCTTTTTCTGAATTTAATGAAATGTCATTAATCTAAGATGGAGTAATTTTTTCAGGCTATTAGGTTTAAATCATAAAATAAATATACTGATTTAACTACTAGTTCAATGACTTATAGATATTAATTATATATTTTATTTTATGGCTTTTTTTTTGCAGATGAGAATTTACAACTTTAATATAAAAAAATCTAAATAATACAAACATTATAAATATTATTATATTGGTTGCCAAATGATAATTATTGAAACTATTTTTGAGAAGTAAAGTGTATACTATAAAGTATAAAGTGTAAAAAATATTATGTTTAACATAATATACTAATAAAAATTATTGTCTAGTATCTATAATATATATTATTGATAGGACTAAGGCATAAATTATGGAAAAATTTGGAAATATCTTTAGTAAGGGTTGAGCTGATGTCAATATTACCTAATACAGAAGCAAGTGGCATATAAGCTCCACTGATATTAAAATACAATATTATATTGTCAGTGAAGCAAATTGTGTGTTTAATTAGTAAATATTATGTCGTCAAATAGCTGAAACTAATATTGTTACGACTGTTGATACAAATTATAATAGTTTACATGTCATACTTAATAATAAGTCTTATAGTACTTTCGCTCAAAGCACTATCGCAGTACATACTAACTGTATAACGACTAAAATATTATAAAACCGCGGTTAATATTACCGTTTCATATTATTTTTGTTACCGTCCACTGTTTGAACATCATCATCACATCTAAAAGTCCACAACAGACAATGACCAATTCAATAATGACCATTGTCTCAAATCTCAATCGCCGCTTGTTATTTATTTTTTTTTTCATAATATACTTGTCCGTCCCGAATCCAATTGCAAGTACGTTTTTTTCGCCTGACACTTACACGTTATTATTACACTAATAACAACAGCGGCGACGACGGCAACTATAGTAATTATTATTGTTATAGCTGATAAGTACTATATTTTCTGTATAATAATATTACCACCCATCATCAGGTTGTTCAACTCAAATTCTCATACATGTTATATATGTGTTTGTGTGTAATCATCTCGGTGTTTAGGTGTTATCTATATTATATACACTCTTTGGCTTGGCCATTTGATCTGTGTCTGCAGAACAACGATGTAGGTACATTAAAAACTTTACCACATTAAGTCGAATAACCATGATTTACACCTAGGTAAAGCATTTTACATTGTATGGGATTATAATAGCACGCACCTATACCTATAGGAATTTGCAGTTGAAAATTAATTAAAACAATAAT